ATATGTTCATGCTTACATTCTGTACAATAAACAACAGTGTTAAAGCCAGTATCCTACACATCATTGAGTGCATGGAGGTATTAATAAAAGTAGGTATAGGGCCGGTTATCAAAACGAAAAGAAAAACGCTTTTTCGCGCACTGGTCGGCAAAAGATCAATAGTGGCCTCTGAATCATCTGTGAGAACGATGTCAACCTATTCAAATCTCTCGATTTAGTTGCTAAAAATAACATAGATATGTGCATGTGCATTTCACTGGTGATCAGAAAGAAGAATCAGATGTAGGAAAAGAAAAAATGTCGGTGAATGATAAATCTCGATTCGGCGGCGAAAAACAGATGTCGCAAAAAAATGCGGAATTTTATGGGTGCAAAAAGGTAACCAGAACCGTATTCTTTATCGGATATTTGGTCAGAAAGACCGAAAGATTGGCCTGATATTTCTTGTGGTGACATGTATCTGTACCTTTTACACACATATGGTGTTTACATATGAAAAGAATTAAAGTCCTACAAATCTCTGAAGGATACAAGTTAGTACTCAATATTGTTTAAATGACTTTCGTAGTAGTTGGATTAAATTCTCACCTACTGAAATTCTTTCTTGCTTGCTCTTTGCCTTTTAGGCCTGGTTCTTTTGAAAAGTTGCTCAAAGCAAGGGTTTTACCAATATTATTCGGACGTTACACCCAGAATTTTCTTAAAGGTTAAATTTACATTTCCATGCAATACTCATTATGATCCTCAAGTTGTTGAGAGGGCAGTGTAGCAGCCATTAGATTTACTATCTTCTTGTTTGTTCTCATTTAATGTTTTCCGACCTTTGTTCAGGGAGAGTTTTAAAATCGAATTAAATTGAAACTTAAAGTGAAAAGAATACTCATTAGTAAACAGTCAGTCACCCTCAACATCTACCACCGCCTAGGCCTATACCTAACCACGGGGAAATAGATCCCTTAAGAAGAATTATGACGGTATAACATAACTGTTTAAATTTTAGAATATCTTTATAGAAAAGCTATTGTACATATCAATAGCAAAAGGTATTCCACAAACTCCAACATCACTCTCAGGCGCAGGATCAAAGTTCTTGCAATTGATAGCCAAAGCCTCCCTCAGGGTCTTTCGGCAGACGATTAAAACTCAAACCTTAACCTTTTTGCAGTCCACTTGCACCTCCAGTAATAATGCAGCTATTTACCGCTTCGAAGTTTCTTACAAAAAGGTAAGATGTTCACGGCAGACAAATACTAAATATCGAAGTTCGTGGGATATTGTTGTTGTTTTGCCCACCACTGCCTCGATGGATCACATGACAACTCTAATGACATCACGATGACCGTCCCTATACTTAATTCCTTCAGGCTGGGTAAAAAATACAGGCCTATGGCTAGACTCCCACTGCCAGCAATTCCACTTGAGACTCATTCATGCATAAACATAATCGCCCACTCTTCTCATCCACAGGGCTATTTTGATGTTCAACGAAAATATAGCCATTAAAATCATTTTTCTATCCTTTTTGGAAATTGAAAAGACCAAAATAATCAATTTCAAAGTATCCGTAACTTTAAGACGTCATCAAGTTTTGTGACGTCATCAAAATCAGATGCCATGACACCTTGAGTTGCTACTGATCTAGCCTTTCCCACTGGACAAATGCGACGACATGACCACTGCTGACTTCCATTCTTGACACCGATCTGTGGAGGACTAGTCTCTGCTGAACATGATAAGGCATGCAGATGCCATAAGGTATATATGTCTCCTCTGTGTTACATCTAGGTTTGTACAACTTCTAGCCATTTAGCTTCATTTTCCCATTCTGCTTTGGACTTTTGGAGGCGTTTCTTCTCTTTTAGCACCAGGGAATCTGAACTGGTAGTGGATCTAGTAATGTTTTCCATGTTTTTGTATTGAATGTCATGCTTTGTTGCAGATTAACGAGTACTGCCTGCAGTACTTTGGAGTCCAGTTGCACTATAAAAGTGACTGATGCCCATTGGGGCTACCACCAGGTGTAGCCGGATGAGGAGAGCCAGGGACTCGCATCTTTCATCACACCATGCGGCCGGTATCAGTACTGCAGGACACCTATGGGGCACTGTTTAGCAGAGGACACTTACACCATAAGGTTCGATGATGCCATCATGGACATGCCCCGGAAGTACAAATGTATTGACGATTGCTTTATGACACGAGTGTCGAGGGCGCCGTCTGGCATACTTATGAATTCCTGGAAGTATGTGCCAAGACCAGGGTATTGCTGAAGTCAGAAAAAATCCAGTTCTGTAAGAGGGTGTCATTTGTGGTCTATCACTTGGTCTGGGACACATATGAACCCTCCATGGAACGTCTGACTGCCAACAGGTACTTCAGGATGACCTGGGTTTAGCTTGTAAACCAGTTGGCACCTTTCCTGGTCACAGCCCCCATGATGGCTCCCTTCAGGGACCTATTGAAGAAATCCACCAAGTTGATTATCTGCAACAGAAATTTACGCAGGCTAAGGAAGCCATCAGTTATCTGGCCAGGAAGGGACTGGCATACTGCGACAAAACTCAGCCAACCATTGTCATCAAAGGTTGGTGCAAAGATGTTATTGGGTTCGTTGTCATACACAGTACTGCTGGCGTCTAGCACTGCGCGGCGCGGCAGTCGGCACCTCACTCCCGTTGAGTATGCGCCTGCAGGAGTATGTGTCTGTAGTAGCTTGGTGCCTAAGCAAGGCCCATCTCTTTCTGTTAGGGTGCCCAAATCTCGTCAGTGCTACAGATTACCGGCCTCTGGTGAGACTCTTCAACAATAAGGCCCTCAAGGTTTTTCCAACCCACTCCTGTTCTGCCTGAAGGAGCGAATGTTGCAGTACAAATTCACGATATGGTATTTACTTAGAAAGCATAACGCGGCGGCAGACTTCTTGTCGAGATATCCTGGAGCCAGAGCCGACCCAGACAAGGTGGACGAAGAACAGGACGCCATCGCCGCTGGAGCCATGGCAGCAGCCACTGCAACCGCCCTGGGCTTAAGTGGATGTGCTACCTTGGATGAGGAGCTCGTCACGTGTCAGTCAAGGACCCCAACTATCAGCTACTCGTGCAAAAGGTTACCAACGGCGACTGGGGTTCTCATGAGTTGCAGGAGCTTGCATGCCTCAGGCCGTTTTACAGGGTGAGGGATAGATTTGTTGTAGCAGGAAGTTTAGTTACACCTTTGGCCATGGGTTTGTGCACCTCATCATCCCTGAAGCTCTACGTGGCTAAGCAGCAACCAATCTTCACATCAAGTATAATGGCCTCAACTCCATGCTAAGGAAAGCGAGGCAAACTATACTGGCCTGGAATAGAAGGCAACCTCCAGTACCACCTTGCCTCCTGCGACTTTTACAACACCAGTGCACCATCATACCCTGGTTCATCCTGAGAATGAAGCACTTTTGCCAGCACTTCATCTGATGGGGAGCCCCAGAGCAACTTTCAACAGATAGTGGGACCAACTTAGTAAATGAGGAAATGGCTACTTTCCTCAAGAGATGCGGTGTTTTGACTCGCCTCTCCTTTGGTCAGTGGATGGGCTGAGGCCGCTGTGAAGACAGCCAAGAGAATATTGCAGGATAGCATCCACACAGCCAGGGAAAACTACAAAATCGACGCCCAGTGGAGACAGACCCTGATCAGGAGTGAGTTGCAGATGGAGAGACAGAACGGGGTCGCACTGGGTCAACGTGGAAGTCATTAATGCCGTCGACCCCAATCTGTTGCCGGGAGACAGCATTTTAATTCAAGACAAGGCCACGGAGGCATGGAGCAAGTCGGGCACCATAGTGAAAATCCGTCCATATTGCCAGTATGCTGTAAGGATCGACAGAAATTACCGCATATCTCTCCATAATCACAGTCACCTGAAGGAGGCATCAGCACTGGACCCTCCTGTCTCGCCAGCTCAGCAAATGTCACCTGACAGAGGTCTCGCCCGGTATGGTTAAACGATTATGTATTTTATTACCATATTATTATTATTGTTTTAGTTTATTGTACAGTTCAAGTTTTTCAGGCTAGTGATTTCTTTTCCTCTGTTTACCTTGTCAGACTGTAAGAGAATAACTGCCCATTGACCTTTTGTCTAGGGGAAGCGGGGGTAGATGTTGGAGTTTCTGCCTAATAAGTAATTCGGGCGCATCCGAGGCAACTGTTGGCCATTAAGACCGGTCACTCGGAGAAATAAAACACTGGCTAGCAACCTATTTTCTGACTTTTCATCAAACAGAAGCAATTTCTTATTCTACGGAGAAGCATGATGTAAGCATATTCGTGTGTTCTCTTGCCATTCCCTTCGTTGTTCCTATTGCATGCATATTGGTGTATTGTTTATATTAAGACTGCTGATATTTAAAACTTCACAATTAATTTTACAAGAAATACTTTTGCATCAGTGCAATAATACCCAAACCAACACCCATGGCTATGCTAGCCATATTTTTGGTACAATGAATATTAATAGAATGTGTGTGTGCAGCAGCAACAGATGCTTCAGAATGCTGGCCTTATCATCATTGCTGCAGTTTTTAGCGAGTAACGATATCCTCTCCAGGGTTGCCACTCGATACCATCCGCATAAGTTTCATGCTCTCCTTCGTAAGAAAACCCGTTCAAGTTGGATATGTGGCACTTGTCATACCACCAAGCACCGCGATACCTGCAAGAAAAGAAGTTAATGGCTTTTCTTCCAGCTTTAGAATAAGAAGTGAAGAATTATATCCTCTCATGTATAGAGAACTTGGATAAGAGAGGTGTAGTTAACATTCATGTGATTTTAATATATCATAGTACTTGTAATAAGAATACTTCTTAAATTTTACATTAAGTAATATGAAAATTACTAACATCTGAAAACCCGATAGATGAAAACAAGGAAAACCAAAATCTTGTATACACTTTCAGGGTTCGGCTATTGATATGTTTATTCTTTATAAAATACTAAACAGCTCTACCTCTAAGCCAAGGCACTTATAAGGCAAGTAGCACCACTGTTTCAATAGGAATTCTAGTTTACATCTTCCGAGCTAAGCCGTGCTCATTTGGCATTATCTAAAATAAATACTAGAAGGATTTACTTAGTGTCTTCCACTTGCCAATAGCAGACCCTGCTGGCAAACTGCGATTCAAGGAATGCACTTTACCATGAGTCTGTTGCCCCTTAGTGATAACGTTCTCTTTTTACACTCGCAACCCCTTCCTTTCTCAAATCTCCGGCACATCCCGTTATCATGATTCCATTTGAATATTTTTTAACTACCTATTTGTAGGCAAAAAGAAGAAAAGCAGCAATTGTCCCGTAACTAAGACTACATTGATTGAACACATGACTTCATGTGGCTTCTTAATATGGACAAACACCTAGCAAATGGTCCTGCAGGAGATTTACCCAATGCTTTGCGACCACCCTGTTAACCCTCCAAGACCCCCTTGAGGTCGCGACACTGGTTGAGATCCACTGCTTTCAAGATAAACAGAGTCTCCTGACAAACCGCATTATTTAAGGTAGTTCCTAGTCTCACTCACCTGGCCGCACAGTTCGCATCAGCCGCGTCGTTGTCGTTGTCGTGCGTGGTAAACGGGTGGCCGTTGTGCCTGCCACCTCCGAAGCCATCGCCAGCTGTGCCGTTGTACCTGGTGGTTATTTAGTTTCTTTAATCACTGCGTACATGGAAAAGGAAAAGAGAGTCTTGAGAAATAGAGAAAACTTATCAGTACATAATCTTTGGTTTAAAGCTTTAGACTAAATTAGTTCTGTTTAAACTTACTTGTTTTATCTCATAGTTCCACCATAACAAATTAATAATGATTCATTCACAAGCATGCATGCAGATATGATATACAACATAAGGATGAATCTAGTTACGTAGACTAAGCAAATAACTGAATAAACGGGGGTTTATTCGTAAACTCAATATTTGTAGGCCAAGAAAGTTTTGTACCTGCCGACTTGCAGCCGATACTTGGTGCTGGCGTCCCCCAGGTGGAAGAGCCCGTACTTGGCCCATGTCGCGTTGCCCTCGTAGTCCGTGAGGTCGACTCTCATCTCCTGCAGGCCGGTCGAGGTCAGGTGGTGCACGAGGTCGAGGCCCAGCCAGAACTCACCGCCGTCCATGTGGCCGAAGCCGAGCTCGTACTCGACCCACGTGCGGTAGAAGTCCTCCCTCACAGGGAGCTTGAGCCGCCTCTGGAACACCGTCCAGCCGCCGCCGTCGGTCTCCTGGTCGCAGTAGACGGTCGCAGCCGCGTCGGGCGAGTCGCGGAAGGGGAACACAGCTATGTCGCATTTTCCTCATTTCTGTGTTTCTATGCAGTCTCAATGTAAGTGGTTTATTATAATGGTCGTATGGCTGTTTATAATACAACTCGTTTAGAGAGGCCTAGGGCGAGGTAATTGAGAGAGCCCTAGGCCCTGAGCAGACAGGAGAATTAAACTCAAGTTGCAGAGAAGACTGAAGTGTGTGTATTTAACAACAACAATTCAGCAGAAAAGAGGTTGGATAAACCAAAGAAGGAAGAATAGGCTAAGGAAGGGAGCTAGCTAAAGAAATTGAAATTAGTCGTAGTGTAAAAGATAAGGGGCTTTCCCTTTTGCCAGTCTTATTTATATTGTGTTTAAGGCTCGTGCCAAGAGTGCCCTTGCTAATAGAGTGGACCTCCCGTTTTATAAATATTCATTTTCTATATATGTATTTCTACATAGAGTATAATTAGGCATTAAATGGTTAGTGTTTTTATTCATTTAGTAGTGAGAATGTTAGTATCATGATCTGTTAGTAGTTGGACTGTGTTGTGTTACGGTCCAAATGTTAGTATTGTGATAACCAATATGTGAATCCTTAACCTTTTTTTTTTTATCCGTACCCGTTGGACGAGTTCCACTCGTGCGTGTGCTTGACTGGGGCGTTCAAGCACCCGCACGAGCAGAACCCGCGTAAAGCGTAAAAACGAAGTAAAGTGGTGAAAAAATAAGAGAGGAGAAGGAGGAGAGAGTAATTAGAAATAGAAATAAGTAGAAGGATAACAGAAGGGGGGCGAATCCCCTTGCATGGTACATAGATATATATTGTTGATCATGTCTGGAGTACGAGGGAGGGGGGTAAGTGATTGGTTTGATTACTAAGATTAATAGGTTGCAATACTGACATTAATTACATTAACTTAAAGTAAAAACAACGTTTATTTATTATATATATATATATATTTTTTTTTTTTTTTGGGGGGGGGGCTTTATATAATTTTTATTGATTTTAATGTTTTGGTAAACTAGAGTGGCTAAAGATAACAAGGTAAAATTATTTTTAGTTGATTTTATGATTTATTATTTTTATGTATTTTTATTGTTTTATATATTAACATAGCAACTTAAACAGAGAATTAATTGAAATTATTTTTAGTGGATTTTATCATTTTATTATTTTTGATTATTTTAATGATTTGCAAGGTAATAAATAGGTAAAGAGTGACTACTTTTATTTGATTTTATTATTTTATGTTTTTATATTGATTTTTATTGACTGCTGTTAACAAACACAAACAGGTTAAAGAGGTAGGGAGTTCTAGGGCAGATCATGATGAGGAAAGAGGGGGTGATGAAGAGGAAATAAACTAGATAGAGAAAGAGGCATGGTGGTGAAGCGAGTGAAATGGGTGAGTGCACCCAGTCAATGCGAACAGAGTGACGATCATAGCAACTTGAATTTCAAAGTAAATGTATAGTAAATTACCTCTGTAATCAGTGTTTTTGCTTTGCCACTACCTTCAGCGTTTTTTTCTTTTGCTTCTTTGACGGTGCCAAGGGAAAACTACACCTCTCCTCAGACCCGCAGCTCTCTCTATCACAGGGAAACCTGTATCAGGAGGCCCAGCAGTCTGAGGCGACCTTTAGGTGTGGTTTCTCTCCCTCTAAACTTCTTCACCTTCTTGTGGCCACCTGGACCTACATAAACTCTCTGAGGTTTTTGTATTCGTCTGGGTGGTGCGCTCTCACCTACTGTTCCTTGATAGCAAGGTTGACAGCAAGGGAGTAGCCCACCACAAAAACTCCGATCCTCTAGTGTGCTGGAGAACACCGCCAGGCTGTCACTAGGGGGGGTTGAGTGCAGGACCTCTACTGTTCCCCTTTCCTCTCATCTCTCTAATCACCCTCATCTCCCTCTCATCCCTGCTCATCCCACTCCATCCCATGTTTTAATGATGGTGAAAGTCAGAATCACCTGTCGTGGTGATCCCAGCCCCAGTCACCGGGACACCCTCTCCAAGGCTCTCTTTGAGGCCAGTGTCAGGGTACTTCGGTACTATAAAATCCGTGATGGATATCTGTCTATTGTTGAAGACGACGACCACGCCGAACGACTCTTTTCCGCGGAAATAGTCGCTTTCCTCGAGAGGCTAGGGTTCACACCTGTTCTCCCCTGGACATGAAAGCAAAACTAACTTTGGTATTCAAAAAATGCGACAGACAGGTCGTAAATGAAAATGCGTCCACCATTGCTGATGAGATCATGACAGCTGCCCCAGGATCTCATGCTGAACATGTCTTCGTGCTGAAGACAAACTACCTGATGAAAGTCAGATTCTCTGACCACCTGTCTGCCAAGAATATAAAGGAGAAAGGCATCTACCTCTTCAACCTCTTCATTGCCCCCTGGCAAATTGAATTCGAACGGTTCACTTCCGTAAGGCAGTGCATGAACTGTTATGGCTACGGCCACCTGAAGGGCCAATGTAAGGAGGAAAAGAAAGACAGGTGCTCTGAATGTAGATCAGGAACACACAACTATAGAAACTGCACTAGCAACTTCAAGAAGTGCATTAACTGTGGTGGTGACCACCGCACTTTTGCTTACAGCTGCCCTGTTCGCAAGGAGGCCACCAAGACCTCTCACGAGAAGGAGAAGGAGAAAGAAGCCAGGCCACTCAGGGCAGTTGCTCAAAAGGCGGTCTTAGAAACCGTACAAGCCACCACGAATGCCTGGAAACCCCTCATCAACCAGGTCCGCCAGGACATTAAATCCATATTCACAGCCACAGCCACTAAAACAGAGCCCAGTATTTACCTTGCCCTCCCAAATGACCTCTCTAAGGACATCCGGGTGGTGCTCCTGCACGTCCACCTGCAAAACATCATAGCCCCTGAGAAGGGCTTCAGGCACCACGCCAAAGAGGCCCTTAGAAAGAACAACTTACCAGAGTTAGATCTCGGGAAGGGTGACTCCTGGGGCATCCTTAAAGTTCTCCAGCCCCCCAGACAGTTGCCAACAGTATCCCCTGAATCCTCCCACGACCAGGCCCTGGAGAGCCAGCTGGCCATGATACCCCCAGACCTCCCCACCACCCCTGTGACACCTCTGTGAGGCCGAATGGGCAGAAACCTGTCCAGCCACCTCCTCCCAGGGAGGACCCTCCCACGTCCCCTGATCCACCACCCCCTCTCCCACCTGCACAAAAACCCAGAGATGTCACAAGGGTGATGACGGCTGGGATCGTTTGATGGACGGCACGGTAGTGGACCCTAGCTTTTATGGGATCCGGCTATTCGCCGAAACCCCCCCCCCCAAAAAAAAAAATGTCTATTCCGGAAGAGGAAATCGGCCATGAACTCCGCAAAAAACGAATCAAGTGCCTAATGACCAAAGCAGGGCATCACAATATGGTCATAGCCCAGAACCTCCAGACCCACCTCATGGAGGGACACATAAACATCATTAAAACCATGATTGAACAGTACAAAAACATACGCAAAACACCCAACGGACACCTCATAGAGGACACAACAGAAAAACATAACACAAACATGACTGATAATACACTACACTCATGTCTCACCATCATTCAACACAATGTCTTACACTGGCCAATACGAAAAAACGAACAGAAAACACGATCCTCACATCATACTCATAAACTGTCATGGGCTCAATAAAGGCAATCCAATAAAGATCTACACATACACAATCTATTCTCCCAACAAATCACAAGAACGAAACGATGACGTAGCTATAGCGATCAGAAACAACATCCAACATAAAATCATCAACACCCATTCAGATTTCTTGGCAGTCGAAATAAACACACCACAAGGACCCATCATACTTACAAAACTCTACTTACCTCCACGTAGACCCTACATACCTGAACCTGACCTTCTGCAGCTCCTGAGGTATAACAAACCAATATACATCATGGGAGACTTTAACGCACATCACGCACTGTTTGGCTACAATCACACTAATAACGTAGGCAGAGGCTTTGCCTTATATATACAACAAGGCAGACTAACACACCTCGGCCCTCACACACCAACTTACATTGCCTATAACAGAGCAACAGCACCCGACCTAGTCTTTGCAAACCACAGAGTTCACTTACACCACCACATAACAACCGACGATATTACATCCAGCGACCACCTTCCGGTCATCTTAACACTCTCCACAAACCCTATCATGGGGTCGAACAAACAAACTACCACATTCTTATACAACACACATCACAGAAGGTGGACTCGGTGGAGGAGATGGAGCTTCTCCATAGGGAATTCTGGCAACAGAATTTCCAGATCTCCCCCGCCGAGAACGCCCGCTTTGGTAACACCACAGAGACCGAGGTAACACAATACCTTCTACAACACAGAAACACAATTCTCCCTGAAAACACCATCAGACTAAACAGTCTCTCTACACCAATCACTCCAGAAGAAATAACAAACACAATCAGACCAAAAACACAACACCAGGAGCAAGCAACATAAACAAAACAATCATCGAACATCTGCCACCCACTATGATCCGCAGGCACGCGACATTTTCAAGGCAAGTTTTGGGTACAGGATACAAATTCAAAGACGCAACTGTCACCCTTATTGCGAAGTCGGGGAAGTCAGCACACGGGGTGGGGAATTATCGCCCCATCTCGTTGCTGGAAGTTCCCACGAAACTGCTGGAGAGGCTGATTACCCGCAGACTCATCACCCACCTTGAAAACAACAAACAACAGTAGGCAATACGGCTTTCGCCCACACAGGGGGACCGAGAGTGCGATTGCGCTCGTTTACGAGGAAATCGCTCTTGGTCTCGCTACCAAGCACCAGATTAACATCACACTACGAGACGTCAGCAAGGCCTTTGACAAGGTCTGGCATGACGGCCTCAAATACAAAATAACACAACTACAACTTCCTACACATCTCACGCGCCTCCTCTGCAGCTTCCTGGACCACAGGACTGCCACAATACGCCTGGGAACTCACCTGGGCACCCCGCTCCACCTGAGAAGTGGAGTACCACAGGGAAGCGTTCTCTCGCCAACCCTTTATATCCTGTACACAGCCGATTTGCCAGCACCACCACACAGTAACTATTTTTCCTATGCAGACGATATCATGCAGATAATCTCACACCCCTCTAAATCACAACACATCATGAAACGAACAACAGAGCGAGCTATACAGAACATAAACACATTTGAGCACCAATGGCAAATACAGACAAACATAACAAATTCAAACTCATGCATATAGCACGCTGAGTCGCACAACCAATCACAATAAACACCACGCCTATCCCTTACGCAAACAAAGGAAATATACTCGGCCTACACATCACAAACACAGGCTTCACATCACACGCCACACACAGAATCAAACAAGCAAACACAACACTCACTAAACTCCGACGCTTCTCATGCTGCACACCACGAACCAAACTCAGACTATACAAAACAACTGTCAGACCAATTCTCGAATATACAGCTGTCCCGCTGGTTGCAATATCTTACTCACAAAAACTCAGAAACTCTACACCGAAAATATAGCATCTATTTCCTCAGAAACTCTACACCGAAAATATAGCATCGAGCCACTCAACACGCACACAGACGCGCACAAAACACCTGGGCCCGCCTACGCGAACAAGAATACACGCACTACCAAAACATCATTGACAAACACACACAACAATCACAGCTGGTGGCCCCAGACACTTCCACTGACTCAAAACACACCACCACCACCTCTGTACGCCCCACTCCACTGAGCTATGGCCATCACCTTTAACCTGACTATGTCCTATGTTGAAGGCTAAAAATAATAAAAGTAAATAAAATCAGGTCACCCTCAGAATCCCCAAAGGATTGGCTAATCCACGCTGCACAGCATAATAACAGCAATAAGAAAGCGAGCGAGCTTCGGCTCTGCCAGCCTCAGCCGGCTGTACCTGGCAAGTACACGCGTGTGGCGCGGATTAGCCAATCACGGGGGAGAGAGGGCAAGCCACCTTGCCGTGGCTCAAAGGTATATATTCCGCGTTGAAGTTCCCCCCCCCAAAAAAAAAAAAAGTTGCCACTCACACCTTATTCACTATGTTCTACAATGTCGATGCTTACAACCTGTCAAACCAAGCGACCTCCCCAACACGCACAGGCTTGATCTCTCTTCTTTAGCTAGTTTAGCAGCCAAATGCATACTCCTATTCTTAGAGAATGAAAACAACTTTAAATTAGTCTCAAATTTTCCCCCTCCAAGATAAGACCTCTTCTTCATATAACCTCTTTCTTTATCATATTAACTACTTTCCATGACCTATGACTCTTTCCTGTGACTGATTCAACTCCACGCAGTGCACCACTACTGGGTGGCTTAAGCGAAACCCGGGCTATCTGAAAACCTTGGATAGCAAATAAAAAAAAAAAAAAAAAAAGAAAAAAAAAAGTTGCCACTCTCCTCTCTTGCTTTTACTTTAGATGGTGAAGAAATCATCGTAGTAGATGATCCTACAGACATCACCTATGTTCCTACTAACCTCCCTCCTCCGACGGACCATACACCTAATAACTTCCCAGAACCCCTCACTTCCGAAGACAGTCCGCCTCCAGTTCTTCATATTCCGGAAGACGAAACCTCCACCACTCTACTAGATCTTCTTGAAGGCTCCAACATTGACCAGGACAACTACTCTGATTATGACCAATAATGACCAACAGTTACAACAGATACGTCTACTGCAGTGGAACAACAGTTAC